TTGGGCCTTGTGCTAGTGCTGTTTGGACCCTTAGGGGCCTTTTCTTACTATCCTCTCATTGTTTTTGATTGAAAATCTATACTCAGTCATGTTTATACTTGTTTAAAGCATAACTCAGTTTTATGACTCTATTTTTATGCATATAAATATTTTGGGCCGAATGCCCTGTTTTTACTAAAATACCCGAGTGGCTTGAGAGGTTTATGACTGAGTGAGGCCGATGGCCTGATTTGTGAGGATATTTATGGGATCAGGCTGCATGCCGCAGCATGTTTGATATCTGCCGAGGGCCTGATTATGAGGATGAGTGTGGATCGGGGCTGCCCGCCTGCAGCATACTTTATTATTATAACACGTGAGTTGTCCGTACAGCACGTGAGTTGTCCGTGCAGATTATAGCGCCTGGGCTGAAGGAGCCCCTCCGGAGTCTGTACACACCCCCAGTGAGCACAGGTACCTACTGAGTGCGAGTGCCGAGTAACTGGGAGTCATGAGTGATTGTGAGGTATGCCCGAGTGGAAAGAGTGATTGTGAGGTATGCCCGAGTGGCACGAGTAACTGTGAGGTTTGCCCGAGGGGCTATGAGTGATGTTTTGCCCGAGGGGCTATTTATGATTTCATCATTTTGCTCATTTTTGCATTTTTCCTCTATTTGAAAACTGTTGAAAATATCTTTAAATGATTTTTAGTGGAACTGGGTTTAAACGAGATGTTTTGATTCAAATCCTGATTTTAAAAGCATGTGGTATTTTACTGAGTTTTCTTGATATGAATGTTGTATGGTTTATTGCTCGTCACTACTGCTCAGTCCTTATTTATTGTTGTTACTTACTGAGTTGGCGTACTCACGTTACTCTCTGCACTTTGTGTGCAGATTTAGGTGTAGCTAGACACGGTAGCGGTTATTGATTGTTCTGGTTGCAGATTTTCTTAGAGATAGCAAGGTAGCTATTTGGCAATCGTAGCCCCTGCTCTTCTCCCTCTTATCTTCCTCTAGTTATATTTAGCTATTTTCCAGCCTGAGTTAGCCTTGATATTGTTAGACAGATTGTAGTAGATACTCATGACTAGTGACACCCCTATGTCGGGCTTTTTCTTCCGCACTTTTATTTTGAATTGAACTCGTTCACGAAGGTTTTTATGTTAAATAACATTGAAATTATCTTTGAAATGAAAACATCGGTTTGTTTTAGAAATGAGTCGGCTTGCCTAGTTCCACTATAGGCACCATCACGGCAGGGGTTAGTTTGGGTCGTGACAGATGTATTTGTCATATTTACTATTTAATTGTGGGTGATGGTATGAGAATTTTAAATGTTGAAATTGAAAAGGTTAAAATGGCTCTTAACTGGCTTTTTTATTCAAACCGTAGGAGTAGACTTAGAGAATATTTTAAAAAATGCGATGAATTTCGCCTAAGAGAAAAAATGGTTCCTAAACCTTGTCCAACTAGATAGAATTACATGTATGAAAGTTTAGTTGTTGCATATGAATATAGAATCCCCAAAAACTCAACGTTTAATGCTCATGTAAGTGATGATGATGAGCACCTTACAAATGCGGATTGGGTTAATGTTAAAATGCTTGTAGATTTTTTAGAAAAATTTTATATTACTACAAATGAATTTTCCGGGCAATATTATCCTACTATTTCTAACTGTTTAGTTTATATTGCAGAACTTGCAAATTTATTTGATCATTTTTTAGAGGATGGGGAAATTTATCAACTTGCTATTGATTCTATGAGAAAAAAGTTTAAAAAATATTTTCCCCCTATTTATGGAGTTGCTGCCTTATTAAATCCTACTATGAAATTAGGAGGCCCTCAATTTTGGTATGAAACTGTTTATAATGGTTTAACACTTAAAGATGAGGAGTTGTCTAAACTTTCGGACGCAATAGCCTCAATTAAAATAAATGTTCAAACTATTTATAATGCTTATCAAGTTGCATTAGATCATGCTAGACCAAATGTTCCAACTCCTTCTTCTTCTAGTTCTCAATCATCTAAAAGAACTGCGGGAGTAAGAGCACTTAGTGCTTGGGCAGGGTTCAGGGGTTCTCAAGGTTCTAGTACTAGTGATTTTTCACAACTAAATGAGCTTGAAGTTTATTTGTCACAGGGAATTGAGGAAGTGAATCCCGACGGCTCCTTTAATATTTTGGAATGGTGGAAGGACAAGAAAAAATACTTTCCGATTTTTTCAAGAATGGCCCGAGACATTTTAACTATTCAAGTTTCAACAGTAACATCGGAGAGCGCTTTCAGTCAAGCAAGACTTCAACTCGGTGATTATAGAGCGTCTATGAGGGAGAGCTTAGAAAAATCAGTACTTTTCAGAGATTGGATCCATTCGGAAAGAAGAAATTCTAGACTTGCTGAATCACAACCAGAGGTAGACGAAACTTACGAATAAGTGCTAACTGAACTTGCGGAGGATGCTGCTTCGCTCGGAAGCGGTGATGACCAAGCTTCTTTTCCGTCACCACCAACAGAAATTTCTCTGGACCTTGAAGGATTTATGAAATTTGTAAGAGATACCATGTAACTTGTATGATCAAAAATTAATATGTAACTTGTATTGTGGCACATCTTGATTAGTTTCTTTTTCTTCTCAATGGTGGTATTAGCACCTTGTTGTGCTCATTCCATAGGGGAGAGGAAGACTAAGAAAGATATTGCCATATTTTTTTAATGCTATAATAAAATTATAACGCATTGCTTTGAATTTGAATATCTCTTTACAATATTTTTGTCTTTAAATTTGAATTAAAAAATTTATGTCACAATTCTATAATATAATTTATAAGGAATTGCCTTTGATATTTTTATTACCATTTTTTCCCTCTAACTTCTATAAAAATAAAAATAAAAATAAAATAAAAAGTATTTGTTGGGCCCACTTAGGCCCCGGATCGGCCCACTTAGCCCGGAACCATTAGTTTGTGGGCCCGATCTCGGCCGGTTCCTACAAAAAGCCTGCAAAGCCCGGGCCCGCGAAGCTCATTTAAGTTGGGATCGGGCCCACTTAGGCCCAGCCTACGAAGCCCACTTAGGCCCGGACCCGGCCCACATGCCAGTCTTATTGTTGGCCCGAGATTCAAGAAGCTCAACTGTATTTGTTTCAAAGCTATTCTTTACTTTAGCATACTGATTCCTTATTATCAAGATATATGCTAAAACCTGCTAGATTTCTGTATTTTGGATAGGGAACAACTCGAAATCCCTTAAATGCAGTTTCATTAATTTAAAAAGCGGAAAAGGTCAAAAAAATGTCCTCAAACTATCAGAAATAACTCAATTATACCCTTCGTTTGCCTTTGGTACCAAAAATATCCTTGCCGTCATTTTTTAGACCATAAATACCTTAGAACTAACAGATGGTCACATGAGCCTTTGGGACATGTTTAATAATATAAATAAGCTAATATGGCAGTCCAACATGGCAAAACACCGATCTTTATATAGATGGTTTCTCTCATCATAACCTTATTTTCACATTTTCAAGAATTTCCTAACAAATCTCTCTTTCTAATGAATTTTTTGACTCAATGTCAGATTGTTCTATGAATTCACATGAAATCCAGTATCTAGAAATATCATTGCGGACTAATTACTTTATTTTTGTCTGCTTGGACAGCTGCTAATGCAGGGTGGATGTTTTACCAAAAGTAAATCTTAAATTTATTTTCTTTTTTGGTGGGTTTAATGAATTCACTTTCTTTTGCTACGTTTAGGTTCAGATTTGCTGAGTTTCTTTGAAGTCCTTCTTAATTATTAGTAATTATTTAGTCAAAAATAAATAATTATTTTTTATTGATTAATCTTATATTTTATAGGTTTTACCAAAAATAGCCGCAAAAATAGACTAAAAGATAATAGTAATAATGGAGCAAAAAGTGGACGAAACTAGCAGTAAAATCATATCAAAATAATACAACAGAACTTGCCAAGAAATGACCAAAATAGCAGCAAAATTAGCCCAAAATCTACAACAAAACTGGATTAATTAAGAGCCAAGACAACAGCAAAATTGAACCAAAAATTTCAGCAAAACTGCATCAAGAGTAGACTAATTTCAACAGCAAAACTGGATCAAAAAGGCTGAAAAACTGCATCAAGACTAGACTAATTTCAGCAGCAAAATAGGATTATAATATGCAACAAAATAACATCAAGATTAGATTAATTTTAGCAGCAAAATTGGCCAAAAAATAGACCAAAATAGCAGCAAAACCAATCCAAAAATACTGCAGTAAAACTAGACCAAAACAGGACCAAAAGAGCAACAAAACTCGACAAAAGGAGCAGCAAAATCGATTTGGAAATTAATTTCTGACACCAAAGTTAAAGTCATATAACTACCTAACAATTACTAGTCTTAGATTTGAGAGTTTCCATTGGCTTTCTTAGACTTTAACTTCCCCACCTTCTGCTGCCTTGCCACTTCCAACCGATTGCCAGTGACCGCTTCTTTACCTTTCCAACTGAGCTTAGGGGGTGAGTATGAAAGATCTGGGGTAAATAATTTTTAATTTGTCTTGTTATTCCTCTGAAAATCCTCCTCTGAAATCGCCTCTCTAAGACACCCTTAGAAGGGTAGTGAGAAATGAGGGGTAAAATCGTTTTGCCCCTTTAATTAGACAATCGGGTCGCGGGATACCATTTAGGTTAATGGGTAAATTATATGGGTTAGTGAGTTGTTAGGTATTTTGATTACACATAGGATATACATGTGGTCATCTGTTAGTTCTGAGGCATTTATGGTCCCAAAAAGTGACGGTAGGGGTATCTTTGGTACTCAAAGCAAACAGAGGGTATAATTGAGTTATTTCCAATAGTTTGAGGGTATTTTTGGACCTTTTCCGTTAAAAAGAGATCTTATTAGCCTTAGTATCTCGATTGAGCTGATTTGGGCCAATCTAGGAGCAATTGCAGAAATCTAGTAATAGGATGCGCTCAAGCCCAAATCCCTTTGGTAATTTTAGTTTTTGCTTTTGATTTTTTCTGATGTGATCAACTTTGCCTTTTTATTTCACTGATTTTTTTGCATAATTTGCAAAAAGAATTGCTAAACTATGAGAGCGAAAGAAAAGAGATAGAATAAGAAATACAAGGATAGAAACGGGAAGGAAATAGTGAACAAGAAAGTTGTTTGAGAGAGTATATATAAAGTAGTTTTTTTTAGAATTTACCTATATAATGGCAAAGTGTTTGGGTATGTGTTGTTAAATGGTCCTTTTTTTTACTCACATTTCGATCGCTTTTTGGCCCGCAGAAAGTTCCCGAATTGATTGAAGTAACGCAAGCCCCATAATTGTTCCTCCATTTCTTCTCCGGCGAAATCGACTCGTAAGTTGTAAGTTCCCCTCTGTCTCTCTCCAGATTTTCCCGAGTTAACCTTTTAGCATGATAGAGATTTTCAATTTTATTTTCTTTGTAGTTTTTGGTGATCATTTATGATAGGGACTTTGGGAGGGTCTAGGGTTTATGCCTGGTAGTAAAATCAGTTGCTGTTTGCTATTTTTTTAGGATCTTTAAATTCTAAAACCTTGGGTTCTCTCTTTAGATTCTTTGATCTTAGCTATATTTGGGAGACAAAAGAGTATTCTTATTCTCAGTATATGATTCCGAACTTAATGCCTATCGGGTATCTTTGGAGATGAAATCATGGTGCTCCGTCTGTTAAAAACCAACGTTTTTGGTTAGCCCAAAAGTATACCAGTTTGACAAATAATGAGGACTTTTAGTTCTTCAAGTCAAAGAAGAGGGGATTTTGACTTTTAGCCCAAAGATATGGAACTGTTCTGGGACTTTAATTTGATACTTTTTGTATACATGTGGATTTTTCTGTTTGAGTTTCTGTCATCTAACTAGAGATTTCATCTTTGAAATGGACAGCAAAGCATGGCAGAGCAAATCCTCAGCTTAGGAGTCCTCATAGATATTGTGGATGAGGAATGGATGCGAGATACTTTGCCTGAAGATGGTATTATCCTCTTTCACCTATTTAATTTTATATCGATCAATCAACTTTGCTTCAATCCCAAATTAATTGGAATCGGCTGCATCACTCTTATTGAATGCGCTCACCCTTAGCGTGCTTAAGCTCTGAAACTTGGAACTAGATAGGTGGTGAGTGCTTTGTCTCAATTAGGAAACACTTCTGTTTGACAGCAAGATGCCAAGTCGTGCATCACACATGGAACTCTATGTTGAAGAGAACAGTATAAACGATAAATATTTCACTTAATTATAATTATTTTTCAAATCCGCTGTCCGTATAATATTTGAATGTATTTCTAGTTATTATTCTTGAATTGCATTTTTAGTTTTTATTTTTCTTCCTTTATAAAATCCGGCAGAGTTATTTCCTTTTTTTTTCTTTCTTTTCTGGCTTTTCGCCTTTTAATATAAATCATCCGTTTCACTCTAGTAATGTCCATTCATTCCAATACTAAATAACTATCCTTTGTGGCAAATTAGGGATTCTCTAAAGCTAGAGGTTTTCTCAATCACACACGTATCGCATCTCAGACATATACTTATTGCTGTATATTTTTATAATTTTCTGTCTCATACTTTCATTTTGCATTTATATTTTACCCCAACTACTTTAGAATTGAAGCATAGTAGAATTTACTGTTGTTGTTTTTAATTGGTCTATTATCGCAGATCTCCCATTACCACCCGTACTACTTCCAAAGACCGACGACAATGAAGACTCAAGTAAGTATTCTTGTATTCATACACTTGGAAAAATATTGAACGTGGGAGTGATTTATCACTTAATCATTTGTTTGGGTACGAAATGTGAGATCAAAAGTTGACACTTTAAAAGTGTAAGTTGTTTATCGCCAAGGACTGTTAGAACAGAATGTCTATAAAGTAGCTATTATATGGCCTCTATCATAGAGGTTCCAGTGCCCTAGACAGGGAGTACTTTTAACATAGAAGTTCCTTGGTTAAATCTGTAAGCGCTTCATATTTGGTTATGTCGGTTGTAGGCAGAAAGCTGAAATTTATAATCATCTTTGCGATTTCTTTAGTAGGCTTTGCAAGCCTGAATGCCAAACATTTCTAAAGTTTAATCTAGCCTCTGTTCGATCCACGATTGGTGTGTGCTGAAAGGTTTCCGTTCTCTGTGATGTTGAACCCCTTATATCGTACATCATTTCAAATAGTATCATGTGGATTTGCTTATAAGCATTTGATGAGATGTAATGAGAAGAACTTGAAGGCTATAGTGACTAGTTAGGTTATTTCTGAAATGGGCTTTGGCACTAATGGGATCAGGAATATATATACATAGATCCGATTTAAATATTTCCTGGTTCGCTCACATTTTGTTGAGTTTTGATATCAGGAATGTTACATATCAATAAGTTAACTTATCAGAATTACTATGATTTTTAACGCTGCACATCTGAGGAATTCTTGCCACGTTTATTTTCATGTTGGCTACTTCCTATCAGTTCTCATATATATATATATATCCGTTTGCAGATCAAGAGGCTCAACAAGTTGATGGGGATACATGGCATGACCTTGCATTGGGAAATCCATGACATTAATGATCAAGCTTGTGAATTGGATTTCCAACAATTGTCAATTTGTCTTCTTTTGTAAGTAAATTGCTAGTCATGTACTTGATTAGCATTGAACGTTGTATGAAAACTAATTTCAACTGTTCATTCGCTCTATATGTTTGTCAATGGTCATCTTCGAAGTGGCCCACTTAGTAATCTTGTCAATCCATGCTCTCTAGTGGGTAATAGATCCAGGAGTGCTAGCATGTTAGTGGATGTTAAGTTCATCCCATTGCTCCTGATAGTTCATACCAAATTGACCATCTTGTTGTAATAGTAATTTTATTTTATATTTGGCATGCAGTTTATATACGTAGAAATGAAACTCAGATGGTAAAGATATAAAAGATGCAATCTTCTGCATTTACGACAGATAAATGGGATCTGAATGTGAGTCTCATATGCCATTCGAGCCAAATTTCAATTAGAGACCAAGGAATAGTCAGTCCTTCATCAGCAAGTGAATTAGTTTAACGTTTTGCTTATACTTTGTATGCTTGTTGACCAAAAGCTTTATATTGGGGATTGAGAAGTAGGTATAATACCTGTTATGACCAAAATTTAGCAAAATTCCTAGCTCGTTTTGTTTGTCTTTACTAGAATTTGAACATTGTTTTCTTTTTATAATTTCTCCCACTCCTCACCTTCACTCTTGGGTGCCGTAGTCCCTAACATAGATATTAGCATCGCTGCAGCAAATTAGACCAACTAATATTGAGCCTTGATATCTAATCTGCCTCACCTCTTGGCAGTACCCTTCGCAACATTACTACTTCTAAAATTAGATAAAATGTTAAATCTATTTTTTTCTTTCTAGCTGTGTCCAAAAAATTATTTTAATCATCAAGGTATTTCAACTTTACTACCAAAAACATGCAAAAATTTTAAATATATATTGAAGATCTTTTAAAACTGAATAATGTGGAAACTACTAAAATTCTTTCAAGCTGAAAATCTAGATAAAAAAATGTAGTAGTAACAGTTAGGAACTTGAAATTCGATTTCCCATGATTTATACTATAAATTTGCATAATAACCACACAAATTCTTTCTTCAACGCACTTGAACCTAAGATTTAATCGAGGTCTATACCCTAAAATTGTTCATCTATATCCTCCATTAAAAGTTCATGACAAATGGTCATAGTCGTTACCCGATTACCCAAATGTCTCACATTAACCATAGAGTTCAATTATATGCACCAACAATGTAAATAATTTATCCTTAATTTCATTTATTTTCACAATATCAAATATTTCCACACAATTGACATAAGCAGTCATTGAAGTCATATCTCATCATCTGCTTTACTTTACCAACAAAGCAAGTCTAAAGAAAAAAACAGGCTCATCCATCCATCCATCCTTTCTGAGGGAACCATTGTTTTCTCTGAACAAAATCAGACTATCATTACTTGGTGAAAGAATAGAATCAATCACAGCTTTATGCAAACCTTTATTTTTCTTTCCCTTTTCATTTCGTAATTACAAATATAAAAGGAGGCTTCTGTGCTAAATTTAATTACACTAGGTTCCTTAGATACCCTTGGTAGTCAGGAAAGGCTTTTCAATCTAAACGCATGATTTTTCCAATGGGAAGCGGCCCCATTTCCAGTTTGCCATTGTCAAAGGCAGAGCCTTCACTGTCGATATCTTGTGCTCTTTCAAGTTCATCCAGTGTCCTCTTCGTATACACCGTAAAAACCACTGTTGTGATGATTGCTATAATGAAGGAAATTACATTATATACAATCTCAACTGGAGTCAGGTGGATGTTTCCATATTGGACATCAGCAAATGTCTTTATTAGCCGACCACTACATGTAGATGAACAAATTAATTGTAAAAGGAATCACCATTTAGTGATGATAGAAAGGGGTACGGATAGGCAGGGTTTTTACCTGTATATGTATATAAAGGCTTCAGGAATCATTCCTGCTATTGATCCACATAAATAAGGCCAGAAACTCATGCTTGTAACTGCTACTGCATAATTGAAGATTGTGTATGGGAATGGCGAAACCCTAAATAATGCAACCACACGAAATTGATGGAACCAACTTCCGTCTCCTGCCAATCTAACCAAGGTAGCCTGCCGAGGCCATCTCTTCAACCATTGCTGCAGATGAGATCAAATAAGCCATATGTAGGACGAGGAGGAAATGTCAATTATCAATTGTTAAGATTGATGAATCAGTAGAGACTAGATAAAATGTAAGCAATCTTACATGAATTCTATCTCGGAAAAGCAAACCAATCAAGTATGGCAGGATCATCCCGATTGTTGTTCCAACCATGATTATGACAAATCCGAGACCATATCCAAAGATCATTCCTGCGAGCCACATCGATGGTCCAGAAGGAAGTAGGACTACTGGAAAGAAAGCTAAGGAAGCTACAAGTACGAGGGCAAGAACTGGACGGCCAAATGCAGTGGATTCCCATTGTAGGAATGGAATGAGAACCTATGTAAAAATAAACATTAAGAATCCAATACCAATAAAAAATGACAATGGTGGTCAAGTATGCGATGGTGTCAAGATAACATAAGAAGGAAAATTGACTTTACTGTGAAACTCTACTACTAAGAAAAAGAGAACAACCATTTGTTGCAAGAGTAGACGCATTTGCAAGATCCATCAAGACTCTTAAATATGGAAACTTGCACCGAATCAAATTTCCACCGTCCTTCTCATAACAACATGAAACATATAGAACCATACTTTCTCGACTGCAAAGTTCCTAAAAATACTCCCTCCATTTCAAATTTGATGAAGTAGTTTGACTCGGCACGGAGTTTAAGAAAAGAAAAAAAAAGACTTTTGAAACTTGTGGTCTTAAAAACTTAAGGGGTAAAAGCTTGTGAGGCCATGTCATTTGTGTGGTTATAAAAGCTTCTCCTTAAGGGTAAAATAAGTAAAATAAAGAGTTTAAAGTTGATTTATTTCCAATCGTAGAAATGTGTCATTCTTTGTAGAACGGACTAATAAGGAAAGTGTGTCATCTAAATTGAAACAGAGGGAGTAATTTACAAGTGATTCTCCCAATTTTTAGACCTTGATCGAATTTTTAAAGAAAACTCTATCTTTGTGCCCTTGGAAAAGTACAACTGACTGATGCTTTGCTGAGTAGTGAGATGTCATAGGTTACATTAGAATGTAATAATTTTGTTAATATGAAATCTCATGCATGCTAATTTTCCTACACAGGGCACAAAGGCATACGCGAAGTGAGATGAAATACCTTCTCAAAAAGAAAGGGCAGTCCCCATTTTACGAAGATTAGAAGAACAATTATAGTGATAGAACACCATATCATTGCCTTGAAACACCACACAGCAGACCGTTTTCTGGCTGGTAATTGAGACTCTAAATTATCTGCCTCAGCTATTCTTGGTTCATTTCTTATAACAAGCCTCGCATGCTCACTTTCTCTTATGCGACTCTCACTGTTCGCATCGGCTTTGGTTAAATCATCAGTTGAGTCTGGCTTCATAATTTGAGACCACGAACCTATCAAACACAAAGGCACATGTGCAATTTGAACACAACTTAAACACATTAACACCAATACAATTCTCATCAAGGAAGAAAAGGAAACTCCATGCAATTTCAACATAGATTCCAAGAGCCATCAAGATGCTGCATAATAAGGAAATGAAAATGGAAACGAGAAAAAAGAGTGATAAAGATCCATCAGTATATAAATTTATTGTCGCCTCAAGTTAATTCAAATTGATCCAACATTTGATTTCTTATTTATCAATAACACTAAAAACTTCTTTCCTGGTAAAGAGGGATTTCCCAAGCCGTGGATTGTGTTTTTCAATAATCTGAAAAAGGAATTAATGATAATCAGCTCATCCAATGATAAAAACTTTGAACAAACGAGCACAAAGTGCTAGCGTGCCCACATAGGTTGAAAGAATGGATTGTTGTCTCCTTATATAGCCGTGGGCAAAGCTCACCTATGAGCTAGATTATGGAGCTAAGTTAGGCCCAAGATCCATGCCCACAAGGCTTTGGCTCAGCGGTAAGAATGCAACTTTAATGTGTGGGTTAGGCGCACCTCAAGAGTTCGAAATCTATTGCGAATAAAAGCCTGGTATTTAAGTGGAGAAGGATAGAGGGCGGTCCCATTATCCATTGAGTTTCAGACCATGCGCCAAATGACCCTCCATGATTTCCCGATTATCAAAAAGAATTTTAAAAAATAGCTCCAGCCCAAGATCAATTTCTTAACATGGTATTATAGCCAAATCCACCCCTCTTGTTGTGTTTCCCCATGTTGGGTCCCACATTATATTGTCCAAGCTCCATATGAACAGTCTTGGGCGTATGGGAGATAGGGGTTATTAAAGTGTCTCATATTGGTTGAGAAAATGGATTGTTGTCTCCTTAGGCGGTCGTGGACAATACTCACCTCATTAGCTAGCTTTCAGGTTAGTATCCATTTCTTAATGGGATTGAATGAGTAAAATCACTACAAGCCATTAAAGCTTCTGTCATGGGCTAGTTAATATGGAAAGGCCAAGCCATTTGACACATACTCATACCAGGCACAACAGGAAAAAAGAAACAAGAGTTTCCCACTGAAATTACACAAGTGTTTGAGGAGTATCAAGATGCTTTTAAGGGACCAAAGACCCTGCCGCACAGAAGATTGCACGATCGTGTTATACCGTTGAAACCTTGGGGCTAACCCTCTGAGCCTAAGACCCTATGGTTATAGCAATTTTCAGAAAATGAAATTCAAGAACTGGTTGCTAAAATGCTTAATAATGGTTTCCTTCGACCAGGACATTCACCATTTATATCAGGACCTTTTGGTGAAAAAGAAGGATGGTTCATGGAGGCCTTGTGTTGACTATAGATAGCTTAACAAGGTGTATGTGAAGGACAAATTTCTCGTCCCTCTTATGGATGATTTTTCTTGATGAGTTGGCAAGACCAAGGCTATACTCTAAGATAGATTTGAGGGATGGATATCATCAATCTAAGAAATCAACGGAAGCAGGAATCTGACTTTTGTAAAACAGGTTTTACGACCCATCAACGTTCAAGCCTCAAGGTAGTGTTCTTTGGTTGAATAATGTTCCAACCACATTTCAGAGCCTAATGAATCATAGTTTTTCAAAAAGCAGCTTAGACAATCCATGTTGTTCTTTTTCCAATGGCATATTAGTCTACATTTTCTCTTTAAAGGGTCACATAGCCACTTCAGTCAGACTCTGAAGATAGGAAGGCGGGAACAACTATTTACAAAGAGGTCATGTGTACTCGTTTTCTCAACTGAAGATATGATAGATGGGCATATTATAACAGGAGGGGGTGTACCCACTGACCTATCTAAAATAGAGATCATAGTCTCTCGGTCCAAACCTAAAAATCTCAAAGCATTGGAGGAGCTTCTAGGTTTCTAGGTCTCACTAGTCACTATAAAGGGTTTATAAAACCTTATGAGGAGATCAGTAAGTTTCTGACCAACCTCTGGAAGAAGAATGCATGTACTTGCTGAAGAACCACAAAAAGGCATCGTGTGAACACATACAAGCCATGAGCAAGGCAGCAGTATTAACATTATCATACTTCTCCAGGACTTTGATACTAGAAACTGACACAAGATAGAAGGGTATGGAAGATTTCTTTACAATAAAAGGGAGGAAAAGACCCATTATATATCTTCAAAGAGAAAATCAATCAGAATAGAAAGCATGGAATATTTGCTGGAACAGAAGGCGACTAATCTTTCAACAGAAGGGGTGTGCTACATTGAGGCATAGGCTATGAGGTACAGTATAAGAAAGGCTCCGGGAATAGGGTTTTAGATGCCTTATATATGAGATGTAAAGACCAGGAGGAATCTATTGTATGTCCCTCATTATACTTGCATCTTATGATTCAAATGGAGAAGCCCATCAGCTTGTAGCAGAACTGACTATACAACCTGATTGCGATCCAGGTTAAGCTCTTAGAAGTGAAATGTGAAGATACCAGAAGAGGATTTACACTAGAGTAAAAAGAGAAGAAAGATTGTGGAGGTTCTTCGCCAAACTCTAGTTGGGGCTCATTCTTTTTTCCGACAAGGTACTGACTGAGGGTCTTTCTAGCCAGATTAGTACACACTGAAACAGAACTAGCTGCTATTCCGTTGGGCTAAGATGAAGGAGAAGTATACAGGTTCTTGTCAAAATATCACTTGTCAGAGAACCAAGTCAGAAGCTATCCCTACCATGTTTTACCGCAAACATCAACTATACCAGCTCATGCATGGAATACAATCTCAATGGATTTCATAAAGGTCTTCTCTCTTCCTAAAACAAAGATGTTATACTGGTGAAGATGGATTGACAAAACATGGTTGTTTTTATTGCCTTGAAAATCCTTCCTACAGGAGGTATATAAGCTGCATGGCTTACCACAGCCCATCACCATATATGAGGATCCTGGTTTTACTAGTGTATCTTGACAGAATCTATTCAAGGCAATGGAAACTTCTCTTAACATTTGTACAGCCTACCATTTGTAAACAAATGAATGAATGGATTAATAGGTGTTTAAAAGGCTACCACAAGGCAATGAAATCTCAAAGGTCAAAATAATGGTGTAACTAATTAAAAAAAAGAAAGACAAAGCAATAGTGTAAGTGGATTGTATTGGAAGAATGATGGTACTACAACTACCACTCTGTTCTCAAGCGTACACCATCACACTTTGCCGGATATGGCTGTCCATTGGACAAGAGCAGCCTCCTTCCCTTTTATCAGCAGAACAAAATATGGTATAAGAGAAGATATGGTACAACAGAGACAACAAATGATGCAGACAATCAAGGATAATCTGAATCAAGCCCAAATAGAATGAAATATTTTATGTAGAAAGGAGGTTACAAGGGGTTTTAGAAATGGCACAGGTGTATCTAAAGTTTCAATCCTATAGCCAATCTTGAACTTGAATCAACCTTTTCTTTTCTGTTTTTTTTTTAATATGCAATGCATGAGACGTGCACTCGGCCTAAAGGCTTCTGGAAACTTGCATACAAAGATTCGACAGTTCACGTGATTCTGCAATTCACACCAAGTATCGCATTTCGCTACGTTCTTCATGGATGCAAGAGCCTAGATATCCGTTGCCAAGAGTCGTTGAATCAACCTTCAAAAGAACATTAAGATGTATGCATAACATTTTGATCCCTATGAAGCCTTTCGAGGCATACAAGCTGGCAGTACCTGCTAATTCATCGATGCATCCGGTGTTCGATATTTTCCAATTAAAGAAGAGAGTAGGTTGTCACATACAGCCAGTGATTAAGTGCCTTTGACAGCAGAGGACAGCCAGTTCCTTCAACCACTGGCTATCCTAGAGCGAACCCCATAAACTCCTTGAGAAACCCTTAGTCCCTTACACAGTCCATATAGGACAACTATTTAACTCAGTACCCTTCGTATGTGTAACCAGATTCCGTAGTGCAACCGTGAATGTTGATGCGGACATATAAGTAAGAACGGGCTTACCAAAAGTTGGCTCTAATACCATGTTGAAAATTCAGACATCCAATCCAAAACCTAAGACAGTGGGTGGATAGGCAAGACGTTTACAAAACCTTTTGCAACCCTTTAAACAATCCACTCAGTACAACTATAAGGAACTATCTTTGATGTTGTTGTAGGCTGGGAAGTTTAACTAAATTCTGGTACATTCCCTCCCAAATGATCCTATCTCTATATCATCTTTCCTTACCTTCTCTCTTTTCCTCATGTCCATCTTCTCAATTCTACGACGAAGTTGGAGCAGGGAACGATATTTCCTTTTTTTTGGTCACTGTAATCTTGATTGTTGATTGGGTTTATGAATTGCAATAACCTTGTAATCGATTCTCTCTGAATGAATAAAGTTTTCCTTTGATTGCCCATTTACTTGCATAAATTACACTTTCTTAATGCAAATAATGCCACCATGGGCACTTCATGTATTAAGAGAAACTATTGATCAACTAAACAAAGCAAAATTCAAGGTGTAAGGCACTGTAAGACTCCATTCATCCTACTTATGCAAATCTTATGTTATGATCATTAGGAGTTATTCTAGCATAAAAAGCTATACAGCAATATTTCTAGAAAGAATTGATTTCTAGATATATATATATATATATATATATATATATATATATAGCAAGTATTACAACCAGGGGCAGAGCTAGGAGGCGCGCTGGAAAAGTAAACTGTATATACATGGTCAAGATTATTTTTTAAGTATATATAATATATGTTGAATCCCTTAGCACAACCCAAGAGCTCTTCGTGTATTTACTTATTTATATTTGAATAAATCCCCCCAAGCCAAACACATATATGTTGAACTAGTTGCGATCAGTTGCACAATTCTTCTACATCTATACCCACTGCTTTATTCTAGCCAAAAACATTTAAGAAAAACATAGTAGTTCTTTTTCGGAAAGCTGTTGGGTATTTTTTTAATATTAATCAATTGATAATTTTCTATGTAACACTACACATAAAGGGTCAATAGAAATAGGAAGCAAGAAAACAAGAAGTAACCCATGGAATAAATAAACTGTGAAGCTTTACAAATTGTAAAGAGAAGATCAGATAGAAAAACATACAGAAACAGAGAAGGGTAGAGAGAGAGTACTGTGGTTCTTAAAGAGAATTTCCGGCAGCCGGAGACGATGGAGGTTCCGGCGAGCACCACAGTAAGTGGGATTATTGTTCTCTCTCCGGTAGGTGACTCGCCGTTGGTACTACAACTCTGTATACTGCTGCTTTCTGATGTGTTTTGTTTGTTACTCTTTTCCCTTTTTTCCTGCATGCGGTTTTTCTTTCTTTCCTTTTATTATCTATTTCGTGAATATATTGGTAGCTCGTTGCGCCAGCCTGACTTGACTTTTATTTAAATTGTTTTTTGTTTCTAAACTTAACGCTGTATCCATTTCGAAATAAAGGTTTTCCACCATCTCATTGCAAATGATGGTCTTATTTCTCCTTTTTTCGAATTTAAATTTAAATATATTAATTGCAAAATATGGAGAACTAGTGTATCACAAGAGCGTGTATTTTTATTATAGTTTTAAATAATTTGTAAGCAAAATTTGCATTTGTTTACTACATAAAAAAATAATTTTCAAGTAACCAACTAAATATGATATTTTTAATCAATCACATGGTAGTTACTTAACCAAGTAAAAAGAAAACTAACGGCTTAGATAACACAAGGAATAGAATTTTGTGATGTATGGGTTTTGGCAGAACTCGGTAGTTAATATTTACATTTAAAAAATTATTTAATATATATAAATAATTAATTTATTCATACTCAATAAGCTGTTTCTTAACCGCGTCTCTTTATATCTTGGGTGTATGTAGGTTATTAGGTTTATGTCCCCCTAATTAGTTATCCTATTAACTCGTCTCCACTAGTTCTTTGGTTGATAGTTATACCAAAGACAATTAATTGGTATAACCAACATTAGGATTGGAGATTAGGTTTGTATTTCCTTTTTACACCTTTTTGCTAATATAATTTATAATTAATATATGAGGTAGGGAACATTGTAACTCTACTATTACGGCAGATGCAAGCTAAGCCTGCGTGGATGAATTTAATTTAAAAAACGGAAACTGTGAGAATATGTTAAAGAGGGAGTTTGAAGAAAGAAAAATCATTAAAAAGATAGATTCAACTTATACTATTGAATTATAGGATTCCTACGTCTTGGAGGCATTTGACTTGTTTATTTCCTCCCACCAAAAGAGAGAACAACTTTGTGGAATGATAAAGTCAGTTTTGCAGCTTCTTTCTTATGAACACGTGCAATTGATTTACCAAATAAAGCGTTTAAATTTTAAGGGTATGATATAGTAATCAAAATGGATACAGATTTTGAATAGAATTATTTGATACATGTGATCGTAGAAGATAATAAATACCTAGTGAAATAATTGAGGTATATACAAATTGCCCCTACATTATTTATGATTATCATAAAAAGACGAGAAACGTGCCAAATATACCTCCTTACTTTCAGATATTGTCTATATTTAACTTCAGTTATATTATCCGGTCAAATTTACCCCTATCGTTATACTATCTGGCCAAATTTACCCCTACCATCAGTAAACTTTTAAAAACTACCCCTCAGTCTGTCAGGTGACCTAGAATCTCCCAAATCATTTTAATTAAGTCACTTATTCTTCTTCTTGATCCACTATTTTTCGAAATTACTATTTACGTGAACGCTAAAGATACTAGACTATACATATCATTCATGGATATTTTTAATTATACCAATGCCCCACTTCTCTTCTTGTGATAATGAGTTTGGAATTTGTTTAAAATTTTATTTATTTTTAACAATATACACACCGTAGAATTCAATGAGTCTATTTATTGTATATTATATGCAGATGATCATCATGTATGTACATGCATATTCAAATATATTTTGTTATTGTCTAGTTAGTATATAGTTCGATCGACTAACTTAAGAGTGCACAATGCATAGTCATTTGATTAAAGCAAGGTTGAATTCGATAATGTAAAGTCTTCAAGGAATTTCAATTTCTATTACTATTACTTGCAAAGTCTCCATACCTTTTGTGCATCGAATTTATTAAAGTTGGGATGTTGTAAATACTTTTGCAATTTAGACAAACTACCTAATTTAGATTCTTCAATTTACTATATTTTATTTACTGACCGTTGTATTATTAATCTTTCCTTTTCTTATTTTTTTCCAATTAAAAAAATATATAAATACCAATTATTTCGAAAATAGTGGATCAAGAAGAAGAATAAGTGACTTAATTAAAATGATTTGGGAGATTCTGGTTCACCTGACGGACTTAGGGATAATTTTTAAAAGTTTGTTGATGGTAGGGGTAAATTTGGCCGGATAGTTTAAAATGATTTGGGAGATTCTGGTTCACCTGACGGACTTAGGGATAATTTTTAAAAGTTTGCTGATGGTAGGGGTAAATTTGGCCGGATAGTATAACGGTAGGGGTAAATTTGGCCGGATAGTATAACGGTAGGGGTAAATTTGGCCGGATAGTATAACAGAGGTTAAATGTAGACAATATCCGAAAGTACAAGAGTATATTTGGCCCTTTCCCTAAAAAGATTGATGTACCAAATGATTTAAAGTTTAAATTTTCTGCACGTGTATATATTTATACAAACAAAATATATGCAATCAAGTTACTTTAACAGTAATGATTTAGATAATCTATCATAGATTAAAATTAGTGAGAATATAAAACTATTTATGGTGTCAATGTCCGATAAATTATATATCGTTGACCAACCTAATCTGACTGTTACATTTTGACTTTTTTCCTTCAGTCAATCCAAATATCAAACCGAGAGAAAGAAGAAAACGAAGCTGATGATTATGGTGATTTTGTCCACAGTAGACAAGGATCTTGGTTCAAACTTAGTAGGTTTGGACATAAGAATTGTAAAATTTCGGAAAATAGCGAAATTTATTTTTAAGTGAAAATGATATTTGAAAATTAGAGTTGTGTTTGGACATGAATATAATTTTTGGTTGTTTTTTAATTTTTGTGAGTGATTTGAATGAAATTTTTGAAAAACAGTTTTTTAGAGTTTTTCAAATTTTCAAAAAATTCCAGAATTCATCTTCAAGTGAAAATAGAAAATTTTATGGCCAAACACTGATTTTAAAAAAAACTAAACATTTTTTGAATAAAAGTGAAAAATATTTCATTGCCAAAGGGGCTCATATTGCCATCTATTTTAATAAACTCGTATTATGTCGTCAAAGGGTTACCTTCACATTTAAATCAGTAGAACAATACTCTTCCTTGTCTTGTGGTTTACGCTGCTTCGGTTGGCCACCAAGTTTTACCAAACAAACTTCGTAATTCGACTTTTCATTGAATTTGTTTCTAGAAGTTGTTGAAACGACGGACCACATTCTTTTGTCCGGTTAAATAAACCGATACCAAATTTATTGACGCAATTAATTTGAATTCTTATTGAATAAGCTTATTAAAGAGATAAAGTGCTTCTTATGGGATCTGTTTAACCCAAAAACTAATTTTATAAACAATTAAATTTGTATTTTAACGCCACTAGCAAATAGAGTAGTCCGAAGTGCATACAGTAAATCTAAGAATAATAATGATAAATAGAACGAAGATAAAGATAAAACAAATCTTAATAATCGTTGACCTTTGAAATGGCTGTGTAAAAATGGAGTACAATCTCAATAAGAAAGAGAGAGAATATTCTTGCCAATGGACAAGACAAGAACACAATGAATGATCATAAATGTTACTTGTAGTCAAATGTGTTTTACAAATGAATAGAATAAGGTATTTATAGCCTAGAGGGGAGATTGGACTGTTTTGAGTTTCAAAACTGCACGCCAGCTATGCGGTTAGTGGGGCGACGGGATAACAATTACTATGGTTGCATAACACGATCTCAGGAAGGATCCAGATACAGTTGAGTTCGACACCGAAGGTGTTTGATCAGCTCTGGGTGCGTACTCTTCCGGTTGCTCTTGTTTCGAATTGAATAGGTGGTCCCGGTCACGGTTCTTATGCTCTCAGGTCTTATCTTCCGTGCTCATAGGTCCAAAACCGCTTCCACCACGTGCCACCGTTTTGCTGTGCCATACGGCAAGGCCAAAGTTTTTCAATACAGATACTCCCCCTACTTGTTAGGTAGTTCTCCGGAAAGTGACCAAAAAGTGAATCTTTTGACATGAGTTAATCTTGTTCAAAATCCTTCCTAGATTAGAAAAGAATCTCAGCAATATCTCGCTATTAACGTGATAAGACCTATGATTGTGATGTTGTTGCAGTCTTCATTTATTGACGGGGACACATGGAGATTCCTACCTAGCCATGTGATTGATTACAATCCCCCATGTCATTATGACTGTTTTAATGATAGAAGATTTTCCTGATTCCGACGGTTACGAAAAGTTGGCCTTGCCTATGTATAGATACAGATTCTCTTCGTTTGCTAATTACTTTTTCTAATTCTATTTAACTTTCTTGACTTTTGCCAAACCTTTTTCTGCTTTTCTTGTTTCTTCTTTCGCCATTACCATAGATTCTCAAAACCCTAATTTTTTAGCAGTTGCAGATTTTTCCTACCAAACCAGATGAGCGATATCGCCGATCCTCTAGAGGATATTTCTTCTATCTTACCTCTAGAAGGAGTTCCTTCTGCTGCACCCTTAGAAGAAGTTCCTTCTACTTCCTGTGAGAAAGGGAAGAAAGCTCTGAAATCACATAAAGGTAGGAAAGGGATGCATGGTACTGAGCCCCTAGTCTCTAACATTCTACCCAAGTAATTAAATTTGAAGTGGATGTGAAGTTGTTGATTAGGGGGCCGGTGCAATTTGTGGGTACTCATGTGACCAACTTTGACTCTCTGGTTCGTGAAAATCACATCCCCCTTATTCGGAGGGAATGCCATTGAGGTAATAATGTTGATGTTCAAGCACCCTTGGAAAGTGAAAGGATTACGAGTCATTAGATTATTTTTTCCTTCATATATATCTATCAATTCACCCTAGGTTCAAATATCCAATCGACCTCATAATTCTGGACTTTTGTCGGTACTTCAACATTAGTCTAGGCTAAGTTAGTTTGGATGTTTGGAGGCTAGTAGTGTATCTCCGATTTTTGGCCAATTTGGTTAATCTTAATTTTTTCTTCAGCATTTTCTCTATCTCTAAGCCTCAAGGCCATTGGGGGCATCATTGTTATTATCTTCAACCATGATACACAAGCACTTGTGAACACGGAGGATGATTACGATAGAGGCTATTACGACCAATTTGTCGCTGCCCCGGCCCATGAGCTGATCTCTTCCGAGGACTCTCCCTTTTCAGAGAGGTGAAACGATAAGGTAAGTATATCACTTTCATCTTGGGTTAATATTTATCATTCATTTTTTGATTTGTAGCTTTTATATTGTAGCGATTCCGGCAGCAGTGAGAGGTTTCTGGCATTGAGAAATTGGTTAAGAAGAATCTATTATCCTCCCCAAAAACCGAGAGGTCTTAGAAGTACATCTTGGAGGTATCGGGATAGAGAGCTAAGAACTACAGTAAGCTTTTGTGTCTATCAACCCTTCCCCTTAATGTTTCACGTTTTCATACCTCTTTCTGTTTTTGTATGAATTGCTCCGAGGAAGTCCCCGCCTCAAGTGTTATAAATTTCCCTATATATTGATTCTTCCCAAGATAAGATCCAACAGTTATCCACCATGATGAGGGAGGAGAGTTCATTGAAACCTGCATCGGTGAGTAGTCCTGCGGGCCTTCCAAAGAGGAGGATGAGATCTAGCTTCAGGATAGGTCTGAGGGTGCTCGAGGCAGTCCCCAAATTAACCTTCAAAGTGTACATCCTCAAGATAGCGAACCCATAATGACTGAGGATGAGGAAATGGAGTCCCAGGGTATAAAGCCAGCAATAGTTGAATCTTCTACTCTGGATCAAGGGAAAGGTGTTGCAAGGTATGATCCTTCCTTTCGGATAATCTATTCCCGAGAATTTCCATCATGACTTCACTTTTCTGTCAAAGCCCCCAATTCTACACTTTTCCTTAGTCGGCCCCTCAATAAGTATATACGTCGAGTAATGATTTACGTGTCGAAAGAAGTGAATCTTTTGGACTATTCAGGGAAGGATGCCATGTAGTTGACAGAGTTGGTCGGCCCTTGGAGAGAGAAAAAGTGGACAACCAATCCAACATCAATCTTGTGAACGACGTATTTCATTGCACCCTTCGGGTATGTCTTGAGTTTTTTTCCCTCTCCTTATTTTTCTATGACTTTTCATAGTTCTGTAAATGAAATTGGATTATGTTTTTTGCTGCAAGCCAACTTAGCTTCAACCCAGGTTAGGAGAAGGTTCTTACATCATAAGGAAACATAGGCAGAACTGAAAGAAAGTGTTACACCCTGTGCATCCCAAGGTGACGTATAATGAATATGAGACTTGTTAATTATGATTTAAATATGTTTAAAGTCATAATATGACTATATATGATTTTGGAATAGAAAATATAAAGTTTGGGAAAAGTCGGATTTAAGTTGCGAAAAAACCGATAAAGGATTTACCTTGTAACAGAGCTTTTTGAGAAATAAATTTCGTGTACTATATGAGGTCTTTTTGGGACATATTATATACCAACTTGAAGGTATTAGAATTTAGCTTTCAACGCACTTAATCGTTCATTCATACGACATCCGGATAAAGAGATATAAGCATCGGAAGATGGGCCAATGCGAGGGTGCCAAGCTAGCACCTCTTTGACTTTTCAAAAGTTGATATATAAATTCGCCTCTCTCTTCATTTTTACATAGAACCCGATCAGAGAACACCATAAAACCTATCCTTGAGCTCTCTAATAGGGTTTCAAAGAATACTAACATCCCGGGTACGAAATCGAGAAGCGATAACATCAGAACGATTCCTAAGACGTAAGTATCATTATACGGCCTCTCTATTTTCTTTGTAGTTCGAGTTTTGTAAGGTACTTCATAGTTAAAAAATATCTAATTTCTGTATTTAAGTTTTTAAATATCAAGGAAGGCTGATAAATTGGTTTCCTAATAGTTAGAACTCACGGGACGGTGATCGGAAGCCGTGAGTTTGATTTGTTTTCACTTTTAGTGGACTGCTTTGTAGTCCACTCGTGTTGGCCTATTGTGCTGCTAATTTATGGAGTTTGGAAGGATAAAAAGGTGTGGAGGAACGCCACATGTGGTAGGGTAGTAGGTTGGTCGCTCGTCGTTGCCGTTTCAGGCTAATTGATTACTTGTTGATTGGGTGTGTTATGATATATTTGGGATTTTTTTGTATTGAAGGTTCCGAATTGTAATTAGGTTGATTTTGAGTTATTGATTGTATTGTGTTTGTATCTCGCCTATAGTAGGCTTGAGGGAGCAGTAAAATCAGGGGAAATGATGCCCGTTTTATTTTAGAATCGAGTTATCGTTTGAGATACGTAATATACTAGCACCATCTAAGACGTACATGTATTTCTATGTTATAGGGTTGGCGAGCTAGTTATCATAAGCTTGTTGTTGAGTTGCATTGACGACTTGAGGTATGTTAAGGCTATCCATTCTTTCCTTTTGGCTTGATCCATATGATACAAATGAAACGTGCAAACGCGGAACTTTCACAAATGACTCTATTCATAGAAGTACTAGGGGTGCCTATGCTCTTGGTTCCCCATGTGTCCTATTATTATATCTTCTGTTAATGGGTATCAGAAAAATACGTCAGTTGCTAAAGTTTATCCAAAGTCATATTGATCTTATGACATTCCGAGAAATCTTATTGACTTACTTCATTATCCATTGCATTCATTTATACATGTATATTGACCCATGACTAGATGACGTTATATACGCGTATATTATATGTATATGGGATATGGAGAAAGGTTATGTCATTATATACGCACCACCACCTGATCAGCTGGTATACGTTGATGATTTCACCTACAGTGGCTGAGATGATATGATGGAATGCCCTCAGAGGCTTGATGATGTTATGTACGCATATACCTATGCATGGTATGACATTTATATGCACATGCATGACATTATAAATTTTTCATGATTTACAGAGCTATTCAGAATTACAGGTTGAGTTCTTTACTCCATGTTTCTTTCATGTCTTTTATATACTACTTTCATGCCTTACATACTTGGTACTTTATTTGTACTAACGTCCCTTTTGCCTGGGGATGCTGCATTTCATGCCCGCAGGTCCCGATAGATATGTAGAGAGTTCTCCTAGTAAGCTATCAGCTCAGCGGAAGGTGTTTGTGCACTCTACTTTCTTCGGAGTTGCCTATTTGGTCAGTATGATTTGAATATGTATTGATTGGTATGGTGGGGCCCTGTCCCGACCTTTATGACATTTATGTACTCTTAGAGGTTTGTAGACAAATGTCATGTATATAGATACTTGTATGGCCTTATCGGCCTATGTTTTGAGTATACAAATGATCATGTCATCCTGTAGGCCCGTATGTCACATGTATAAGTTTCTATATCATGTTGGGTCGCTCTATGTCTAGTATTCCCTTATGTTTTATTCCTGTTATCTCATGATGGACCTTCTGGCCCACTTACCTATAGTGGTATGATAAGAAAGGTATGTTACGTTGGTACTCGGTTGTGTAAGGCACCGGGTGCCCGTCGCGGCCCTGCGGTTTGGGTCGTAACAAAAGTGGTATCAGAGTAGTTCTGTCCTAGAGAGTCTACAAGCTGTGTCTAGTAGAGTATTGTTTATGGGTGTGTTGTGTACCACACTTATAAGTAGGAGGCTATATGGCATTTAGGATCGTCACTCTTTCTTCTTACTCTAGATCGTGTGGTAGAGCTCAGTTATAAGAATTCAAACTCCTAAATTTTATTTTATTTGTTATACAATGACATCTACATCCAGAAAGACAGTTGGTAAGAGATTGAATATGGATGTGGAAGAGTTGAGTCAGAGGAACCCGATTTTACGTCATGCTTATGATGAGTAAATGTAAGGTCTTCAGCAGATTATGTGTGTACCAAGACCTGTAAGCTTCTTGATAAGGAGCCCTAAGGCATGAATATATATCCACTCATATGGTAAAAAGCAACGAGAGAATCAGAAGGTAGATACAAGTTTCAATAAGTAAAAGAAGCAAGGTAAAGAAGGGTACAAGGTACCCAGTTAGTGAAGATTATCAGTATTTACAATTCAAGCAGAGAAATATAAGCATTCTGAGTTACTTTCAACAGTAACAGAGATATATACACTTGACAACACCTATCTCAGTTATGCCCTACAGGGGCAAACAGATATATTTACCTTAGTATGACTCTCGTCCCTAGAAAAAAAAGGTCGTCCCTAGAAAAAAAAGGTAAAGAGAATGTTAGGCGTCCCGAAGAGCCAGTGAGATGAAGCAAGGGGAGCTAAAAGTGAAAGAATATTTTGTTAAATTTTTAAGAATAAAGTGACATATAAAAATATTAGTTAGAGAATAAGAAGAGAGTAAATGAAGTATTATGAGTAAGATATGATAAATGGGTGATAACGGTAAATTACAATATGACAGAGTCTATAGTCAAGTGAAGAAAAAGACAAGAGGAGACATGCCTTGAGTCAATAAAAGAGTATAAGCCATAAAGTCATGTCCCCATTTCGAGAAATGAGTTGGTGACTCGTACGTGATTACCAGAAGGAAAAGTTAGACCCCCGGAGAAATAGAAATCAGTATGGGCTAGTGAACAAGATAAACTGAACATGAATTAGGGATTTGAAGATTTGATAATAGTTGGCATCGTGAGAATTTTAGAGATCGTGTTCCGACAATAATAGAATGGACAACAGAAGAATAACCTTTAAAGGTCATTCAGGAAGACGCTTCCCTAAAACAAGCGCTGTGAGCAGAGTTAAGCTTAAGGAACTAAGTGTGCCAGTTACGCTAGGCATCATCTTTGTGTGTAAGAAATTAAATTATCCCCGGTACAGAAGGGTTACCGCAAGGCAAGTAAGAGTTCGTGAAGATGTGAAAAGACACCAAATATGAAGAGGTGAAATATTTATAGGTAAATCTTCATAGCATTAAATGTTAGTACTCCCCTAAAGGGGGAAGATGGTGTGATATGGTATTAAGTCAGAGTTATGTGGTTCAGGTAACTATGGAATAGTAAAGGAAGAATGTGGTAGAAAGGTGAAAGGAATGAGATTGCATTTATTCAGATCCTACGGATATGATATGACTCCAGAACATTATGTAAGTATGACGACGGGGAAAGGCAGTAAGGGTTCCATCACTAGATGTTATTGATAAATAAGTGCAAATGAACACTGGATATATAAGGAGCCAGTGTGCGGGGTAAGTTAAGACAAAGGATATAACCCAAGAGAGATTACGCAGAATATAGGATAATGGACTAACAAGTAGTTAGTAATTGATTCAGGAAGAGCCTAGCCATGGCTAAACAAGAGGATACAGACAAATCAGCAGGTTGTGCCAGATAAACATAGTGAAACCCAACATAGGGAATTCAGTCTCGCAAATATGATGACATCGTAATCCTTGAGAAATATTCAGATAGGAGTTAGGATTGTTAAAGGTACCGTATAAGTGTTATGAAAATAAAAAAACGGTGCCACTGAGAAGGCAATCAAAAATTTTAGTTCAGAATCAACTTTACGAGCACAAGGGCGCAGAGGTAAGTAATTAAGGATAATTATAGGTGAGGAAGAACATCAAAAATTCTTTCGGGTATACAATGTAATAAGCTTGCAGCTTTACAGGCGTCAAAAGGTCTCTCTTAAGTACTACAAAGAAAGACTAGCCGAGGCAATAAGGAAGAAGGCTTCAACTTAAGCATAGTGACATAAAGAAGAAATGGTCTTGTAACACCATTCTCACAACAACATTGTATGCACTCCATAAGAAAGTGGCACCTATCGTGGCTAATGAACGGGAAGAAAAAAAAATCAAAAGATGATATGTGAGATCATATGAGTTACAGGAAATTTCAGTATTTGTGGGCAATGAGATAAGCCATGTATTCATGCAACAAGTGGAAGAATGACCGTGAAAAGTAATTGCTTATGTTTAAAGACAACTAAAAAAGCACGAGAAGAATTACCCTACCCCTGATTTAGAGTTAGCCGTGGTGATTCATTCACTAAAGATGTGGAGGCACTATTTATATGGAATTCATGTTGATATCTATACGGATCATAAGAGACTTCAATATATCTTTAAGCAAAAGAAATTTAATTTATGCCAAAGGAGATGATTGGAGCTACTGAAAGACTATGACGTTGATATTTTATACCATCCGGGGAAGGCAAATGTAGTAGATGATGCCCTCAGCCGTAGATCTATTGGTAGCCTGTCATATTTACAGCCAGAGATGAGTGGGATAGCCCATGAGATTTATTAGCTAGCTAGTCTTAGAGTTTGATTACTGGACTCAGGTGATACCAGAGTTACTATTCAGAACACGGCAACATCCTCTTTAGTAACTAAAGTGAAGGAACGCCAGTATGAGGATCCTATGCTAGCTCATTACAGATATACATCCCCTCAAAAGGATAATACACCAGTTGAGATTACAGGAGATGGAGTCCTTAGATATCGAGGTCGATTATGTGTTCCTAATATGGCAGGGTTGCGCCAGCAGGTTATGGGAGAAACTCACTATTCTCGTTATTCTATTCATCTAGGAGTGATGAAGATGTATCATGATATAAGGGGAATATACTAGTGGGACGGAATGAAGAAGGATATAGTTGAATTTGTTGTTCAGTGCCCTAATTATCAGCAGGTTAAGATTGAGCATCAGAAACCCGGTGGATTATTGCAGGCTATAGAGATTCCGACTTGGAAATGGGAAGTGATTAATATGGATTTCATCATAGGCTTACCTCGTACCCAGCGTAAGTTCGATTCTATATGGGTTTAGTGTTGATAGACTTACAAAATCAACCCATTTTCTGCCTATCAGGACTATGTATTCAGCAGAGGATTATGCAAGGCTTTACATTAAGGAGATAATACGACTTCATGGTGTCCCTATATCTATTATCTCAGATAGAGGAGCTCAGTTTACAGCTAGTTTCTGTAGGTCCTTCCAAAAAGGATTGGGGACTCAAGTAAGTCTTAGTACAACATTTCATCCCCAGACAGACGGTCAGGCTGAGCGTACTATTTAGACACTAGAAGATATGCTACGGGCTTGTGTGATAGACTTCAGTGGTAGCTGAGATGATCATCTTCCACTTATTGAGTTCGAGTATAATAATAGCTATCATTCCAGCATTCAGATGGCTCCATACGAAGCTCTTTACGAACGGAAGTGTAGGTCACCTATCGGATGATTCGAGGTTGGGGAAACTAAGTTAGTAGGACAAGAGTTGGTACAATAGACAGTTGAGAAGATTAAGCTTATACGGGAAAGGCTATTAGCAGCTCAGAGTCATTGGAAGTCCTATGCATATAATCGACGACGAGACTTGGAGTTTCAGGTAGATGAATGGGTATTCCTAAAGGTATCACCAATGAAAGGCGTTATGAGATTCGGTAAGAAAGGAAAGCTTAGCCCTCAGTACATTGGAC